GCCCAGCAGGTCGAGGCTGCAGTGGCCGGGAGCAGCCACTGCACTCTAGTCTGAGCGACAGAGTGAGACTCCAACTCAAAAAAAATTAGCCAGATGTGGTCGGGAATGCCCCTAGTCCCAGCTAGTCAGGAGGCTGAGATGGGAGGATCACTTGGGTCCAGGAAATGGAGGCTACAGTGAGCCAGGATCATACCACTGCACTCCAGCCTGGTAACAGAGTGAGACTCTGTTTTTAAAATAAACATAAATTTAAAAAATATACCGTAGTCCATGAAGTATGTAATAGCATTATGTCTAAAAAACACAATGACCATACCTGAATTTTAAAATACTTTATTACATCTGGGTATGTTGTCTCATGACTATAATCCCACACTTCAGGAGGCCAAGCCAGGAGGATCACTTAGGCCAGGAGTTCAAGACCAGCCTAGATAATGAAATGAGACCATATCTCTTTAAAAAAAAAAAAAAAAGCCAGGTCTGGTGGCACACACCTGTAGTCCCAGCTACATTGCACCACTGCACTCCAGCTAAAAAATGCTAACAGTCATCTGAGTCTTCTATGCGTTGTAATCTTTTTCGGGTGGAGGGTCTTGCCTCAATGTCGATGGCAGCTGACTGATCAAGGATGCTGGTTGCTGATGGCTCGGGGGCTATGACAGTTTCTTCAAACAAGGCAATGAAATTTACTACACCGGTTGGCTCTTTCTTTCACTAAAGAGTTCTCTGTAGGGCAGTCCCTTTAGATCCTCTCCCACTGTGGGAGCTTTTCTGTCCTCTCAATAAATCCTGCTTTCTCACTTAAAATAAAATAAAATATTTCTCTGTAGCTTGTGATGCTGTTTGATAATTTTTTTTGAGTTGGAATCTCACTCTGTCACCCAGACCGGAGTTACTCTGTCGCTCCCGGCCACCGCAGCCTCAACCTGCTGGGCTCTGGTGATCCTTCCACCTCAGCCTTACAAGTAGCAGGAACTACAGGCACATGCTACCATGCTTGGCTAACTTTTGATTTATTGTAGAGACGAGATCTCGTCAAGTTTCCCAGGCGGGTCTTCAACCCGCAGGCTCAGGCAATCCACTCACCTCGGCCTCCCAAAGTGCTGGGATTATAGGCTGAGCCACCAGGCCTGGCCATGCTGTTTGATTTTTACCCACAGCAGAACTCTTTCAAAATTGGAATCAATCCCTTCAAACCCCACCGCTGCTTTATCAAATAAGTTTATGGAATATTCTAAATCCTTTGTTGTCATTTCAACAATTTGTTTTTTTGAGTCAGAGTCTCACTGTCAACCAGGCTGGAGTACAGTGGCACACTCATGGCCACTGCAGCCTCAACCTGCTGGGCTCAGGCGATCCTTCTGCCTCAGCCTTCCAAGTAGCTGGAACTACAGGTGCGTGCCAACATGCCTGGCTAATTTTTTGATTTATTGTAGAGATGAGGTATTACCAAGTTGCCCAGGATGGAACCCCTGGACTCAGGCTATCCTCTGGCCTCTGCCTCCCAAAGTGCTGGGATTATAGGCGTAAGCCACCATGCCTGGACCTGTTGCAGCTTCTACATTAGCACTTTCTGCTTCACCTTGCACTTTCATGTTATGGAGATAATTTCTTTTCTGAAACCCCGTGAATCAACCTCTGCTAGCTTTCAACTTTTCTTCTGCAGCTTCTTCACCTCTCAGCCTTCATAGCATCGAAGAGAGTTAGGACCTTGCTCTGGATTAGGCTTTG